AACACGTCTCTCCTCGTCTGCAAAGTTAGGAAGAAAAGGCAGCCCTTCGCCAGCATGTGTGCGGATGACGAATTTTTTTTTAGTTCTGGGACGGTGAAGATAAGGTGGCGTGTCTGTCCCTCTCAGGATTCTTCTTTGCGTGTTCCTTCTATTAATAGTGAAGTACAGCTACATCTTTCTCTAAATTATCTTGTTCGGTCTCTAAAAGGTTTATTCTCCTAACTTTCTGCACCTTCTTTGGCTGGAAAAATGGAAGTCTCTCTTTTGCACCTCTCTTCTTTAGGCTTCAGGTTTATCTATGAAGTCTGTTTGCCTGCCGAGGGGGTGGGCCCCCTGACATCCAGGCATCACTCCCTCCTAAACTGGGATTGAGGGGCTTGCTGCGTGAACCCATTCAATTTCTTTACTGTCTTAGGTTGTGAGTTACAGACATCGGAGATAGATCTTTTCCTTTTGTGAATGTACCTCTTCTTTCTTCTGTTTAGGTAACTAAACTTAAGGGTTCCTATTTTTAATTCTGGATGAGGAGTTAGGTCACTAGTTCTTTTGGGCAGCTCCTTTTGATTACCAGGATTATTTTGCTTTTTTAGAGAATGAGAGGGGAATTTGGTTCCTTATGTCTGTTATTTTTCTTTACAAGTAAGAAGCTATTTGTGATGTGAAAGTAAGAAATTTTCTTCTTCTTCCTAGGCTCTGATTTGCAGATTTTTTTAAAAAACGGTTTCCTGTTTTACACAATTAACTGAAACCATCTAAACCCTGCCAGAAAACTGGTCAAGCTATAAAAGCAGCAATTGCTTTGCCATTTCTGAGGGTGCCTTTCCAAAATTATGTTCTGTGCTCGTTCTGAAATGGGATGAAGTCTTATGAACTAGAGAAGTTCTTCAGCCTTGTCTGTATTTGCCACTGATAATGTTATGGTTGGGCCCTGACTGCCTTTTCTTAGACTGCCTTGGTGACTTACGCAAAGTGGTGGTTTCCTTCAGAATCTTTGCATTTTGAAGCTGATAATGGGGAGAGAACAAGTTCCTGTATGTAGTAGTTAACTTACAGAATGTATTTCTTTTGAGACTTCCTGTTCTGGTTTAAATAAAATAAATTCAGTCGTCTTGTTTTGGGGTTTTTTTTAGCAGTTGATAATAGATAGGATTAACTTATTTTTAGGACTGTATGTATCAAAAAGATACAATAGGTATAGGTATAATAAAAAGAACGTAGATTCTTGTGAACAAGTAATTACTTTGATAAGGGTTAAAGCTGAGTGGATCTTTAAGCATGATCAATGCCTCATAAATTCTGCTCTGCAGAGTTGCCATTTGGAGACGGAGGATGAGGACGACTTTGTATTTGGATAGCAAATAAGGAGAGTTTGCTCTGAGCCGCTCTTTCTTCCTTTTGGGGCCCACTGAATGGGAAGTAAGCAGTTTCTGACAAGGAATCCAGTTGCTTTTTAGAAGCAATTTTTGAAGAGAGAATCTGTGGTATGCTGTTCCTTGTTCCTGATAGCAGCTACAGGTATTCATGAAGAAAATACGTTCTTTATTGAAATTACTTGTAAGACTGCCAACATGCTATACAGTGAAGGGAGTTCCTCTTTGAGTTTGGATAGTGCTGGTTACAAATTTTAAGATTCTGTTTTTCTCCTGTCTTGAAAAGAGATACTCTTTTCTCTGTGTACTTCCCCCCCGCCCCGTTCTGATTTCAGGAATAGGCAGTGGTACTTACTAAACGAAGAAGTGGTTGGGTTTTTTTCGTTCTGCCTTCAAAGAACATCTATAAGTTAACTAAGCCAAGACACTGCTTTTGTTGGGACCCCTGCAGTTTGCTACATTACATTTAGATATCCACCATGTATCTGTTTCTTTGAGTTTACTTTGTGACATGAAACTTTTTCAAAATAAGAGCAAGCAATTAAAAATGTGACATTTCTATGTATTGGTGATCTGCAGAACACGAGCTGTGCATTCGTATTTCCAGCAGTTCATCCAGATTTCCTTCCCTGTTTTGTACTGGCTGTTGCAGCTGTCAGTGGTGTTCCATGCCTTTTTAAGTAGCCCTTATGGAAACTGTCGATGGAACTTGGTGGAGCCCTGGAGAATAAAATCTATTCTTTCAGGGCAAGTTAATTAAGGATGACAGTAGGCAGGCACTGACTCTGTTATATTCTAATATTACATAACCTAGTGTGCTAAGTCTGTTTTCATACGTGGTTGTTGGATTCCCTTGATCTAAGGTCTGTTTGGCTGTTTTTAACCTACAGGCTCATCTAACTCGTCCTTTTAGGTTTCATTCCTTCTGTCTTTCTTTTAAAATACCTGATATCTAAGGGAAAATCCTTATTGGTTTTGTTGTGTTGTGTGTTTTTTTTTTCCCCAGCCCCTGATACAAAGGGCATATTGTAACATCAGTTGGCAAGAAAGTAGATGGGAATTGGACTTGTGTTACTCTAGTCCTCCCTGGCTTTTTGTAGCTTATAGGAAGGTATTGTAGCCCACTGTAACTGTAGAGCTGCCAGACTCTGTTATCTTACCCTAGGGATGTGGCAGGTTTATGGCTAGAAATGCAAAAGCTAGTTTAAACTCATCTTAGTCTAGTACTTTTTCTGGCCACAGTACGTGTACTGATTAGTAGACAATCCCTGGCAGTGACTTGATATGCTATTCACTATTTCAAGGCCAACAAGAATTTCATTGTTAATAGTGCTCCAATGTAATAAGAAGACATCTTTTCTGCAAAGAGCGGAGGTGTAGTATCAGCAAGCTGCCAAAGCTAGGCAGGTAAAGATTAATTTCTTGTGTTTTGACATTGGTGGTGTTAAAACACTCTTTAGCATAGGAGCAGGGCGTTTATCAGGGATGGGGAAATTGCATTGATGATCATGTCTTATGACTTGTCAAAAATAATCTTTCTAGTTGGACCAGGTAGCTCCTTGATCATATGGGAAGGTAGCACTCTTTCAAATTCTAGAATACCAATTTCAGTATTCAATTTCTGTGTAAATTACTTCTGTTTGCTCTTTTAAAGAGTCTTCTAAAGACTCTAAGGTGGAAAAATTAGATTAATTAGGCATTTAGTTTCCAGGAGTTACTGAACTTGTACTGTGACTTTTGATTCTTTTGTTCAGAATTAACAATTAAGACACTAATGATTTATTGTGAAGAACTTAATAAATTGTCATTCACCTTTTTTTTTTTTTAATCTGAAGATGAGGAAGGGGGAAGGTTATTAGACAAATATACTTCTAGAGGTGTTCTGTATAACGTTAGGTGTTTCAGAACCTGTTGAATGAAGAAGGAATTGATCACTGTTCAGGTGACTCTATGAACATCTTGTAGGATGGAATGGATTTAAATATATAGAACTGCTTGTCTTACTGGTGAATGAGCTGTTTTTCGTTCTGGAAGGTAACATGTTTGTATCAGAAGAAGATGGGATTATTTTAGAGCTTTTATCAAAATGGAGTATTTTTCCTTAGTAATTCTACAGTGTATGTCAAGCTCAGTGTCTTGAATGTGTCAGTTTTTAGTATGTTAAAAAAAAAAACAAACCCACACACCACAAAATATGAACTATTCTGCTGCCCCAGCAAAACTTTCTTTATTGCCAAATCACTAAAATAAGAGTTTGCTCTATTGTATATTTTGCTTTCTTCCAGCTTCCAGGTAGGTAGTTTCTGTGTGCTGTTGAATTTTAATTGATCCCGTTATAACTCCTGATTCCCAGCTTCTTGCCTTGCCCCAGTTGGTGTTTGGATATTGCTGTTGGTTTGTTTTGTCTTGGCTGGCATAGAGATACATTAGAGAATTTTATTTGGCTTCTCTAAGTCCCTCGTGACAACCCAGATGTTCTGCCCAGTTGCCCTCAAATGTTATACAGTGATGCTCAGGACTCGAAGCTTATCTTTCTAGAATACTTGGGTAGGCTTTCTCTGCTACCTGGAAATACTTTGAACATAAGATTCAGCCAGCTGGCTGTCTTGGGCAGAGTAACACTGCTTTGTTTCTAGCTGGTAGGAACATTTAAGCCCAGTTTGGGGTGGTACAAAGGGACTTGGAGAAACCAAAATAGCAGGTAAGAAATTATGCTTCCTTTTCCCAGGTGCTTATAGTCCTGCACAGATGCCAAAAGTATAATTGAAGAAGCCATCATAGACATGGTAGAAAGAAACCCCTTAATGTAAAAAACAAACCCAAAACACACACTGCCTACCCCCCGTAAAATTTCCTAGAGCAATTGAATATTTTTGCCAGGTTAAATTACCTAAACCATTGGCTTATAAATACCTTCCAGAATTAATTTGAGCTTTAACGCTATGTATCTAGACCCGAATTCCTCGGACATAACAAACATATAGTCCCATAATAGTACAGAATATAAGATTAAATGTCTAATACCTGGTTATCTAGAGAGTCATTTTGTGTGAGTTTTTAGTAAATTATGAAATTTCCTCTTAAAACTTCCAATGAGATTTCAACAATATCTAGTAACTTAAACTTTGAAAAAGCTATGTGTCTTATAAGACCATAGTTGTTAAAATCTTGTTGGTTTTGCAGATTGTCTTTAACTGTCAGCTAATTATCCTTTCTGCTGTGTGGGTAAGTACAGCTCAAATACCAGGTTATTTTAAATAATGGGAGAATCCCCCCCAAAAGCACAGTTTTTAGTCTGGTCCCTACAAATGCCATGCTTAATGCTCTGCCTGCTAACCAAGCAGTGATAGTCAATAAATTATCCAGGTAACTATGTGTTAGCAAATTCTTGTGCCGGTGTACAGATCAAGCAGTAAAAAAAAAAAAATCTAATTTCAGCCTCATTCAAATTGGTATCAAGATACCCTGCTTTTTTCACTGTAAAAATGTCACTCTTACTTCTACATGAAATTTATGCTGGAAGGAGTGACATTTTTTTCTTTTTGCCTGGGATTCTATTTCTGGGGTTTTTTCTGTGACAAAGATTTTTTTTTTTTCTTCTTCTTGTAGGTTGAAAGAAGAAAGGGAGACCTGCTTGTCCAATGAAGATGCAGTCTTAGTCTTCAGCTATTTAAGCTGAATGCATTGTGATTTCCAATAATTGAGACAGTGATTCTGAAAGCTGTCTACATTAATGAAAAGAACAATGTAGTCAGCTTAACTGAATCATCAGTGTTGCATATTGAATAGAACATGATAAACCAATCTTGATGGACTTATGCATGTTAGGAAAATAGATACAAACATTTATTAAAGCATTGTTTTTTTAAAAACAGTAGTTTTAAAAATGGAGAAATATGAAAATGTACCACCCCTCCCTAAAGAACCTGCAAGAGAAATGAATGTGGAGAATCATACTTGTCCCCCACCTCTGCCGCCTAATGAACAGCCTCCACCACCTCCCCTGCAAACGTCCAGTGACGCAGAGGTAATGGACGTTGGCTCTGGTGGTGATGGACAGTCAGATACCCCTGCTGGGGACACGCACAGTATCTGCAGAACACAGCTTCTCACAAAGGGATCTGCCTGCTACAAAAGTCGTCTTATAATAGACCCTAACAATAGTGACCAAAGCCCAAGAACTGCTCGTCATGCACCTTCAGTTCGAAAGTTCACCCCAGATCTTAAGTTACTTAAAGATGTAAAGATTAGTGTTAGCTTTACAGAAAGCTGCAAAAGCAAAGATAGGAAAGTTCTGTACACTGGAGTTGAGCAGGATTATAAGGCAGATACAGATTTTGCTATTAATAATGTCAATGGGGATTTGCATGTTTGTCCTTTTGGTGGTAGTAATGGTAAAGCTGTAGGAATAGGGGGTGAAAATGATGACAAGAAGGATGATGAAAATGATATTGATCAGGAAAAGAGAGTGGAATATGCAGTTCTGGATGAGCTAGAAGATTTTACCGACAATTTGATGGAAATAGATGAAGAAGGAGGAGGGTTCACATCTAAAGCAATCGTTCAAAGAGATAAAGTGGATGAAGAAACCTTGAATTACTCATATGAGGTAAGTAAATCCACAGATTTTTGGTGGGTAAGAGGTTTCCAAGTGGCTAGAAAAAAGTATGTAAAGATGTTCACTAAAACAGTCTCATCTGCAAATGTGCAGTACTTGGGTCAAAAATGCAAAATTTTCAGAGACAGAACTTTGGCTGAAAACTTTTGTGAATTATGTTGGTCAAACTTCTGAGTTGTGTGGCAGCTTCTGTAGTCTTGTTTAAAAATAACATTTAAAAGACTTCTTACACAATTGCAGCTGATTTTATCAGGAAAAATACCAGTTCTCACTTACGAAAACTTATTTTCTATTTTTCAGTCTTTTTACTGGGATCATTGGAAATTTCTAGTTTCTCTCTGTATGGAAGTACATAGAGAAAATGTATACTTTTTCTTTGCAAGGGGAAAGGGAGGTTAGTAGACCCAGAAGGATGGTGTCTGATGAAGTCTCTTTCAGGATGACTTTGATAATGATGTGGATGCTCTGCTGGAAGAGGGTCTTCGAGCACCCAAAACAAGGAGACTAGAAAATGAGAAATATGGTGGTGAAAGCGATCACCAGTCTGATGGAGAAACAAGTGTGCAGCCAATGATGACCAAAATTAAAACTGTACTTAAAAGTAAGTTAATGTTCATTAAATATCTATATTTTTTGTGCGTGTGGCTTATGTCTGTAGAACAAAAGTGTATCAGCAAGCAAAGTTTAGGATAGCAATTCTTGTGAATTGTTTGAAGGCTTCTTACTATAGGATATGATTTTTCATGTTCCTGAACAGTGAAGTTGATTTTTGGGAGTGCTTTTGATCTTCATCTGTTGTATGTAGTAAGAATGTATTTTAGTGTGTGGATTTGTGAAAAATTATGAAGAATGTTACCTCAGTGGTGGGGAGGTGAACAAGGATGATCTGTTCTTTTGTCTCCAATACTGTGAAACCGCTGAAGACTGTTCGTGGTCATTGTGAACTTCTTCCTACTTTAGATACATCACTTCTGTTGTTGAAATTGCTCTATGTGAAGTCTTTATGCATCCAATACTAGGTTAAAAAAAATCATTAGGAAAATCAGTGGCTTACATTTATCAAATTTCATCGTGTAAATGTTACAAACTAATAATAAAGAAGAGCTGAGAATGTGAACCAATCCAGAAGAATGTAACTGAAAATACTCTCAATTAGGATTAAAATTTGAACCTGCTCTAGAGGACTATTTTGCAGCTTTGCTGTATTCTGAAATAAGAAACCAAACAGTTTTTCCCGCCAAAATTTTATACTAACACAGGATTGCCAAGAAGCTCCTAGCTAAGATGAGCCTGGTCTCTGATTTCTGATGCAGGGAGGCGTGAGACTGTTCTCTGATTTCTGGAATAGAAAGGAGTGAGGCCATGTATTATTAACTTGAGTGTGAGCATAAGCATTTTACTGCAATATTTTCTTTGCTATGCGATTCCTCATATTGGCTTATTGTACTCTAATTTCAGTCTTGTTTTCTGGAAGAAGTAGTATTCTTGATGGCCAAGATAATTATTTAAGTATAAAGGCTTATAGACTTGATCCTGGTTTGTATTGTGCTTACACTGAAAAATATAATAGGAAAGCCTTAGCTTACAGCCTAACTCACTGTTGGCTGTTTGGGTCTGTGGGTCTAGTGGTGTCTCAATGCAAATTTATCCCCGAGTGTCAAGTGCAAAAAATTTTAAAAGAAAACTCAGTTGTTTTAAAAGCAAGTACGACTTTTGCATTAAATATAGTGGTGCTTGTGATGATATAAGTACATAAAGACGACTAACGAGAAAATTCACTGGTGAAATGAACAAGTCGGTCTGTATAAAAATTAGTGCTACTGTTGCTTTTCAGTTGAAAACATAATGGCATCTGTAATTTTGCAGGATTTAATGTGGGTTAGAAGCATATGACTTTTTATTAAAGGAAACCAAAATCTTTTTACAAAACTTTTTTAGTGTTGTTTCAGTGTCATTTTATGCTTTGAGACAGAAAAAGCAATAAAAATAAAACTCTCGATTTTTGTTTTTTCCTGTTCTTCTAAGCAGTCTATCCAAGTTTAAAGCGATTCTTTGCTTTAAAGGTCGTGGCCGCCCTCCTACAGAACCTTTGCCAGATGGATGGATCATGACAAATCTTTCCCTTATATTCATTCCTGTTTTTCTGCACAGAGAATCTAGAGTTGTTACCTGGTCTAGACCTTACTTCTTGGGAACAGGAAGCATAAGGGTGAGAGCTGTCAATGACTTAAATACTTACTGAAATTTAAAAATTAGGTATGTTCCTGCAAACAGTTGAATATTTTTCTACTTTAGCAGGCTTCTTTCCAGTGTTAGAATTAAGGTACTTGAAAAATAAACTCCTCTGTTTCTGAAAATACAATATGATTTTTCTTACAGTGTTTTGTTTTTCCATTTTTGCAATGAGTTTGGGCAGTTAAAGTGAATGAGGTGGTCTTGTTTGGTGCCTTCGTTGTTCTAGTATATGGCTGCAAAATGTTGGTTTTATTCCACCATGAAATATATTTAGATCATTTATTTGTAGCTATAAACTAGCCTGAGCTGTGGCTTACGGTCCACATCTACGGAAGTAAGCATGTGACATTCGTGAACCCAAGGAATCTGCAGAAATTGGATTTAATGTCATGGGCTTAAACCCCAAGAGAGCTCAGTGGATTTTATGAAAGCATGTAGTATTTGCATGTAATTGAACAGAATATAATTTGGATCTGAAACAGCAAACACACTTCGAAGGTTAGTATCAGTGTTACGCAGTGCCAAGAAACCATAGGAGTGGATGTACTCAGGTCTTGAGTAGAGTAAGATTGCTGACCAAAGAGAAGCTTGAGCCTAGACTAAATGTAATCAAGATGGAAGTTACTTTCATCTTTTGTTTTTGAGTTTTGTTTTTGGTCACCTTGAGGTACTGAAACCTTCTGTATTATTTTATATTTGCAGAAACATGATCCTCCCCTTAGTAGCATTCCCTGCTTGCATTACAAAAAAATGAAGGAAAATGAGGAAAGGGAACAAAACAATGACATAACCCCAAATGAGGAAGTATCACCTGTAAAGCACCTAGATAAATCTTCAGAACTGGACTGCCAAACAGAAGAACCAGATTCTACTGCTGCTGATTCTGGGCCTTTAGATGACAAAGACACCTCGGGGGGAGATGCAGCACAAGGAGCCTTAGGACAAGTTAAGGCCAAAGTTGAAGTATGTAAAGACGAATCTGTAGGTATGTATGGAAGTCTTTTCTTGGCTGGAGTTGGGGTAATGGCATTTGGGATACCTATGCTTTATTCCAGGCTTGGCAACTGAATAATACCTTGCCTGAGATCAAGTGGTCAGTTGTCTTTCTGTATGGTTTTTCGTATGCAGAGATCTGGAGAAATAGATCCAGTATTAGAAATCAATTTTGATTTTAACAGGAAGAGAAACATACAGTGGAGATTTTTGCTGAAGACTTGAGAGTCCATATGCGAAGGTTTTACACGCAAAAAATGTGAAAATTTTGGAAGTTTTGTCCTGTAGACTTTGTCAATTTAAGAATCAATTAAGTCAACGCGTACATATGAATTGCTGTTGTCAAGTGTGTTTGTGTGACTTCTTGAAATAGGCTTTTCTATGCAGTCTCTATATTGGCTGAATTATATCTATTTTCGGTATGATCTCTTAAGATAAATGATGCAGTTAAACTAGATTTGCTTATTTGCACAAGTCTAGCAGAATAAGTTACGCAAGTATAATTGCACTCACGCAAAGGGGTGTGATGCTTCATTATTTTATTTATGCAAGTCTGATAGCTTTATACAAAAAGCTGCCTGAAGAAGTCATGCCAAAATCACTGCCAAACTTACAGAGGAATTTAGAGAGAAAGCTCCTGTGCCACTTACCACAACTGTATACCTGAGAGTATCATCCATGTAAATTACTGCTGCTCAGAATACTGACGTGGATTGTAGGCTACCACTTACCTTTGTAGTGTTCAAACATAAAACTTGTCATTACACGTGTCCTGTTCAGTCTGAAAACCATACCAAAAGATTAAAAAAAAAAATAAATATTTAGCAGCAAAACTAAAACCAGTAAGCACTTATTTTCTACATGAAGTTCACCTGTCTATCTCTCTCTTTAAATAGGATCTGTTCTGTATTACTGAAAAAAATACTGAGTGGTCAAGTATAAGTGTGACTTGCATTTGGAATTCCTTGTGGAAGGAAACAATGCCAGCAGCTTGCTTTTTGTTTACATCTTGGGATGCTACTCTATTTTTGCTGATTATATCTGCAGAAATATCCTATAAAGGAGAAGCAGCTGTACTTCAGGGGGGACAGTCTTTTAGTACTCTGTATATAAAAATGAATGTGTTAAATTCTGTTTAGAGGCCAGCAGATATTCATGGAGTTCATAGAGCATCATTATATAGTGTTTCATGGTACACTGTTTAATAAATAGGCAGCAATAGTCAGTTTTGGCTTCAGGAAAATGAGGCTAATAGCATAACTACTGTTACTCGCTGTATACCTTGCTTCAGGTAATGAGAAGGTGAATAGGTGATTAAGTAGAACAATTACTAGTGCTTTGTTACAAATTGTGTTGGGTATTATGCTGGTTAGGGCTTAGTAAAATCTTCGAGTGACAGAATAAAATGTTCTTTTGTTTTGTTTTGTTTTCCAGTTTGCACAAATGTTTTCCATTTGACCCAGTAAGAGAAAAACTTGTAATTAGTTTTGTTAGTATAAAATAGCATCTTAACCTTGAGTATGTGAACTAAAGCCACTGCTTTTGCTCCTGGTCTAAAAAAATAATTAGAACATTTTTAAAACACTGGAAATAGTGAACGTAATGCTTGCTCAGTGGTGAAGTAGGGAGAGTAACTTGTTTGTGTTTCTTAGATCTGGAAGATTTTAGACGCTATCTTGAAAAGCGTTTTGACTTCGAACAAGTTACCGTAAAAAAATTCAGAACCTGGGCTGAGAGACGGCAATTCAATCGTGAAATGAAGCGGAAGCAGGCAGAATCTGAGCGGCCTATTCTGCCTGCCAACCAGAAACTCATTACCTTGTCTGTGCAAGATGCACCTACAAAGAAAGGTTAGTTCGTCTACCTGGAGTTCAAATATTCTGTATCAAAGACTAATTACAGTTCTAATCTCAACTGAAAAAAAGAAAAAAAATCCTGTAGTAAGTCCACTTTCTTCTTGTTCTAGAATTCTGTGTTCTTGGATCCATCATATTACATAGTAAAGGAAAAATACTGTCAAAATATGCTTCCTATTTAAAAGAGTAATTCCTAAATGAAAGGATTTTTATTTAAGGTTGCAGTCCTGGTAACTGGTTACTACCTTCAGCTACTTGTTACTGTTGGTTGTTACTGAAAATCTTTCTGCCTAGTCACTCAATACTACTGCCTTCTCAGTCCTATACCAGTTCTAATTGGTCCTAAATTAGGGACTGTTTACAAATGTCGGATTGATCCAGATTAAAAGCTACAATTAAAAATACAAATTTAAAGCAGTTGGATGGAAACAGTTAAGAATTAACTGCATGTGCAGTTGTGTCCTGTGGTGTGAAGACTGGATATCATGTCTGATGAGAAGCTGGGTGAATTAGCTCTTATCTGTATTGGCTCTGTAGCCATGGTAGTATGTTTGACTGCAGTCTGATATTTAAAATGTCCGTAGACCTGTGATTTGGGTTTTGTTCTTGTTTTGTACATTGTCATGTTTCTGGGTTTCTTCAGCAGAGTTAAAGCTTATGAGCTGCATATTGACCATTCCCTGTGACAGGGAGGTGCAGTTGAATTTTTAGTTAATGCACTTTATCTTAAAATTCTAGGTTTTAGAGCCACATGGAAACCATCCAAATCAAGGACTGACTTACTCTGTCTAAATCTTAACTTTCTCTCCCATGCTGCCATGGTGCCCACTGAGGTGGGGTTTGTGCTCTTGACTAACAATACTGTTGCAGAAAAAAAAAAATAGGCCATTGAAATAAAAAGAGCATGTTCAGGGCAAGGGGACAGTGACCTGATTTGTGGCTTGTTAAACAGGATTTCTTGGGGAAAAAAAAACGAGTGGTTCTGGTTTGTGGATTTGAAGTCTATGTGCCTATTGTTAGAAGGGAGATACAACATGTTTAGGAGCAAATTAGAGGATTTCTAATTGGTGTTAGCTGCCAAAAATGCTGTGTGTAGAGGTTCAGAGGCCATGGGACTGCAAACATTGAGCAGAGAATATTTGACTTAGCTCATAATTAATGTGCTTCCAGTTGTTGATAGAAATTTCTCAGACTTATTTCTCAACACTTTTTCAGAGAAAATGGACTTTGAGGTCATAATTATCCATGTCTGATTCAACAGCATTGCATTTAATTTGAGCGGGCCCTTATCCCTTGTAGCTTGTCATTTATTTATGTATTTGTAGTAGAAATTGTCTTTTAAAGACTGGAACTACTTAGCTGTCTTCCCCTCCCCCCCCCTCTTTTTTTGTAGAATTTGTGATTAATCCCAATGGGAAATCCGAAGTTTGCATACTGCATGAATATATGCAACGAGTCCTAAAGGTTCGCCCTGTTTACAATTTCTTTGAATGTGGTAAGTCTAAGTTTTTTAATCGACGACATGCTGTTTTAAAGGGCTTATCTCATGCTTGGATATCTTTTAAAAAAAAAAATCAAATTATGGACATTTTTCCTAGGGGATGTCTTGAAAGTCTATTGTGAATCAAATTCTAGCTAGGAAACATTTTCTGTATCTTAAACATGGCTTTTGAGGATAAGAGCGGTCTTATATTTAAAATAACAGTATGGCTTTTCACTTGGAAAACTATGCCTAAGTGAAAATGGATTTGAGTAACTCATTTGCATATAAAAGGACATGTCAGTGAAATACGGGCAATTACAGTTTTGCTGACTGTGCACAATTAATATTTGCTTGATTGTTCTCGTCACTGATGTCCAGAAAATCCCATTGTAAGGCAGGAATTGTTTTAGTGAGTCATCAGAATCCGGGGGGGGTGGGGAGTTAAATACTAAACCCAAGTAGTTTCTGAAGAGAAATAGGTAGGCCTTCAATTACGAAGCTGTTAAGAATTTGAAAGATTTCTGCAAGCACATATGTACCCTCTCTAAAGCTGCAATAATTTGAGATATTTTTGTGGGTTTGTTCTGTTCTGGTTTTCTTCCGATTAACAAAAGATACAATAGGTTATTTAGATATGTAGAGTTTTAAAGTCCTTTAACTGTTCAAGTTATTGTATGTTATGATTGTTGTTATGTCATGGAGGTTCATATTTAAATCTGGTCATCCTAAGAGAATTGTGTATGTATAAATTGATGTTAAAAATTTAAATGGAAACCAGAAATGGCTATGTAGACTATTTGCCTTGTGTGACTATTCTCTAAGGTCATTGATAAGTTATAATTAATATTGGTAGGAATTGTTTTGGTATAAATGTTGACTAATTTTGCTCATAGTATTAGAAGAATGGAAATAGAAGTGTCATTCTACTGGACTAAAAATAACTTAAAGAGTTACTGAGACTATGTTGTTCCATGATTAGTGTGGGATTTATGTTGAATGCTGGATGGAGATACGTTTGTGTTTTTAATTTTATTCTGCGTCAGTGGTGAGAAGAGGTGGGTTGGTACTTCCTGACTTAGGCCGTACTGAGACTGTGTAAGTGATGCTAGCACTCAGAAAAACAAAAACCTGTGGATAATTTTACTTTAGATAAATATGGTGGGGGAATGCACTTGATGCTTAATCAAGAATCTAAAAATGTTACATATATGACATATATAACTGGAATCAAATTAATGCTGGATTTTTTTTCCCCCCTGTAAATTCCAGCCAGATTGCCTTATCTAGCTGCATTTGAGATTGCTTTACAAAGTGGTATAGCATATGTTCCTTGCATTTTTGCTTTTGCCGGGGATTTTTTGGGGTACCTTATGGAAAAGGAAGAAATTACACCTTTTTCAGCAGCAGCCATTAAAGGATTAAGTCCTGCAGTCAGCATCCAAGGAATTACAAGTTTGGCATCTTAGTTTACTGTGGAATCTATAATTACTCAGAATTACGTTATCCCTGTATATGCATTACATAATGTAACTGAATTTTCAGTATCAGAATGTGTAGCTCTTGTATTTACACTGTGTTACTGATGCAGAAATTTTGGAATTAACATTTGAATTCTGGCAGATTACAAATGATCTCTTAAAATGTAAAAGTTCTTCATTTGGAAGAACGAAGTACATGGTGGTAAGTCTCTGTTAATGGAAAACTCTGTTAGTTTTTCATATATTGGAGTTAGCAATTCTTCAGTCTTTTTGAAGAGTTGACAACTTCCATCCCTCTTGAAGTTGAAATGAAGGAGAAAACTAATCTTGATAGTGGTGGTCTTTCATGTTCATTATGAGTATTTTACATTGGGAGTTCTGAAAAGCTTTCTTTTTCTTTCCTCCTCCGTTTCCAGAGAACCCAAGTGAACCTTTTGGAGCCTCAGTGATTATTGATGGAGTAACTTACGGGGCAGGAACTGCCAGCAGCAAAAAACTTGCCAAGAATAAAGCTGGTAACGTTTTTTTCTTTCTTAATACCAACTGCTGAATTGTTTATCTGTTTTCATTTCTGCTTTGAAGATGACATATTTGCAATAGTAAGTAGGAATCATTTTGTTAATAATCAAAGAAGGTACACTCGTGTCTTTTTGGTAAAAGTGATAAATACTGTTGACGAGACTTTTCTGACAACCCTAAGTTCAGCTGTGTACTGGGATAAAAAACCATGAAGAAACTTCAGATGTTAACTTACATGTAAACTATTGACGTGTACTGAGTAGCTGTAAGAGCGTCTGTCTCCAATGATCAGGCCAATAAGAACGTGTTGGGGGGTTTATGTTTATACTGTCACCTGCTATATAAACACCTGGTGTACGGATTTTAGCAAAATGTCTTTGCCCTTCTTTAAAAACAAAAAAAAAAACACCTCAAGATTTTGGTTGTTTTGGTTCTCTTTCTGGTAATGAAACAATTGCACTGAAATATGTGATTATTGATTTCCAAGTACTTGTCTTCATTAATTAGTTCTAATTGTGTAAGTCTGTAATGAATATGCAAATAATTAAGATCCAGATGAGAATGTGTCTGACACATTAGAACTTCTTACTGATCTCCAGATTTGAATGTCTTTAGCACAAGGATCAAGAAAAAATACCTTCTCAAAACATAAAGATGTATAATATACCTGTGGTACTTTCTGCACTTGTGAAATATGTCAGTGTAGCTAAATCACCAAAAGCCAGCCCATAATTGTTTGTGCATGGAAAAAAAGGTATTTTGCTGTGAAAATTTAGGCAAATACTGGGTGTGCTTTTAGTACAATACTAGGGTTCTGAGTGCCCTAGTGATACAGTACTAGGGTTCGGCTGTAACAACTAAGGGGTGATAACAACTTTCTAGTTTTAGGTCCTAAGGGCTCTACGTCACTTTTAAAATGAGACTTGATGATAATTTTTTTTTCCTTTCATAGGCATTTGCAAAAAGCAGTTTCTTCCTAGTTTAATTAGTTGTGAGACTTTCATTATCAACTTGAACAAGTAGATTTTTTTTTTTTTCCTTAAAAAGTGCAAGTGAATATACTTACAAAAAGAAGATGCCCGTCTTACCTGTAAAATTGCTCTCTGAGTGGATATTTCTAGGGGAGATGTGAGACTTGCTTAAAGAGTGCCTGATTCTGCTGTTTTTCTTTACAATCATTGCTTGAAATAATTGTAAAGATGTTGAACCGTTTTCTGCAGCTCGAGCTACACTGGAAATCCTTATTCCCGACTTTGTTAAACAGACCTCTGAGGAGAAGCCCAAAGACAGTGAAGAACTTGAGGTACTGAACTCTTGCTTGCTGGCTGTCATTATTGGAGTCTGTTTTTAGAAACATTACACCTTTGTTGTCAGAAATATTAATGAAAATTCGTAACGTTGTTTTCTCAGTCAGATGGAAATGTGAAATTCTTCATTTATAGCAAGGTCTATGGCAATGAAAATACTTTTTTTCTATTGGAACTGATCAGAAAACGTACTGTGATGCAGAGGACTAGTCCCTTGTTGAAATATCAGGTTGCTTACTGAAGACCTGAAACGTTCCAAGACAGTAGACTGCCTGTACTGTCCTGGCTTCCAGAACCCTCTGGTTGATGCCTTGAAAAGTTCAGAGCTAGATGCTGTCTGGTTTTGTGTGATCGTCTTTGAAGACGGAGTAAGAACTGAAAGTGCCCAGGCTTCTGAGACATTTTCACTTAGCTGTGAAAGCTACCTGCTGCCAGATCAGACAGCTAAAATTGCAGACTTTAAGCAGTGACATTTGAGAAAATTGAAGGAAAAGTGTCTTTAAGTGGAGAGCGTGTGCTATATTTTCAGGTATCGGAAATATTAAATAGCTAGTTCATCAGTGATATGTTCACTTCCAATTCAGCATGTAACAGACCATCAGTAAGGAGTAAAGGAAAAATCGGCGATGAGCCTGAAAGAAATGTTTTAATTTTAAAAAGTGTAATATACAGAATGAGTTGTTTGTACATTTGCTTTAATGTAAAACTGTGTTGTATGCCCTACGCTATTGAAATGGTCATTAAGAAAACGCAGAGAATTTTTTCCATTGTTTTAAAATAACAGCTATTGGAATGTTTTGTATTTTATGTTTCCTTTTACTAAACCACAGCATTTTGGTAAGTAGAATTTCATAATTAGTTAAAACAAACAAAATAACCTTGTCCTGAGGGAGAAAGGCTGATAAAAAAATTTATAAGATTCTCATTTTTATGTCCATCTTGTATAATGTAAAATTGGAGTTAAAAGAATTATTTAAATTTCTGTCTGCAAACATATGATTAGGTGTGGCAGTCTTAATGATGTTGGTAAATACCTCCATTATGGATTTAAAAAATACTTTTTTAAGCATTAAGCGCAGAGGCACAGGATTTGTTTAACGTTGCAAAGGAGAAATGAGGGTTCAGAACAGCATTAAAGTCTTATTTGCGCAAAAGCTCAATAACCCTTTTCAATTCCTTTTGTAGTATTTTAACCATATCAGTATTGAGGACTCACGGGTATACGAACTCACCAGTAAAGCTGGACTTTTGTCTCCATATCAGATTCTCCATGAGTGCCTTAAAAGGTAAGGCTGCAGAATAAGGAGCAAATTCTGCTGCGTGCAGGTGTTTGCGTCGGGGCACGTTGTTTGCTTGGTTGCTTGTACCCCCAGTGTTTGTCAGTAAGTTGGACGTGCGTGGGCTGGCCAAGGTTACTGCACTCGCTGTGGCTACGAGAGATGTCGTGTGGACGGAACTGGTTAATTCTGTATCTTCCTTTAGTGCACGTTTGCCGTTTATGCCTCTTGTCTTCTGAGATTAGGGTTTAGTTGTGGGACACATAAATATATTTGGTTTTCGTTTATACAGGCTTGCCTTTCCATTCCAGTCAAGTTACTGATCTAAAAAAGAACTCGTTATTAATTCATGTCTTAAAATTTATTATCAATGTATCTAATTCCATTGCAATGTCCGTCAAAGATAACTGCGACCACTTCAGTTGTTTGTAATTTTACTTAGTATATCATATTGATTTTGTTTGTGCTTAAGAAACCATGGAATGGGTGATACATCCATAAAGTTTGAAGTGATTCCTGGTAAAAATCAGAAGAGCGAATATGTTATGACTTGTGGCAAGCACACGGTGCGAGGCTGGTGTAAGTACAGTACTTAGTGTGACCTCTGACAGTATCTTCCTTTTTTCCCGCTCTTGTTTGTTGTCCATTTTGTAGGTGCGTGTTCAGCTATCTAGCTTGTTACGTGCTTATTCTACTCTTCTCTGGTATCTCAATTTTGAATAACACGAGTAAATATTGGTGTTCATCTAATTACGTAATGTGCCAGTATTGACAGGTTTTCATGGTTATTTTTACAGGCAAAAATAAAAGAGTGGGGAAACAATTAGCTTCTCAGAAAATCCTACAGCTACTGCATCCACACGTGAAAAATTGGGGCTCTCTTTTGCGTATGTATGGTAGAGAGAGTAGCAAGATGGTTAAACAGGTGAACACGATTTTGTTTCATTGTAACCTACCTTGTGATTGTATTTGCGCTTTTGTATTTTTCTGGGTTTTTAACTTTCATTACAACAAGGCTTTAATGGTATCTATTTCGGCATAATAGCGTGGTTCCCTATCGTGGTCACGGCAGTATGCGTTTGGTGAGCAGTTCTCAATTCTTCTGAACTGATTCTCGTACCTTGCTATTGCCAGAAGATAAGATGAGCGCTGCGCTTTCGTTGACAATAATAATTCTGTCGATCTCGCATCTTCCAGGTCAAAGCTATATAACCTACTTAATATTTAACTAACTCATGGAAATATATGTTATTACTTAAGGGAGTACAACTATCGCAGATTAAACTTCTGCTCTGTGTGTTTTAATTTTTTTTTTTTCATCAAAAACCTCATCTGTTGTTTCTTACGGTTCTGTTGAATAGGAAACCTCTGATAAAAGCGTGATAGAACTTCAGCAGTACGCCAAAAAGAACAAGCCAAATCTGCACATCCTGAACAAGTTACAGGAAGAAATGAAAAAACTGGCACAGGAAAGGGTGAGTACATGCTCGCTTGTATTTACAAGCGGGAAGAATGCCGTGGGTCAGACGTAGATTAGAATTTTTGCTTGTTTTATACAGCATCTCGCGTAAAGAGGGCTGTTCAAAACTTGATTTTGGGAGGGGGCTGCTTTTAGAGAGATTTTCATCCTCTCTTTTAAACTGGCTTACAACTTAATTTTACCTACTGCAGTAAATTTATTTTTAACGTTAGAACAAGTCAGCCTTTCAAAGATTGACACAAGTTTGGCTACAATTGTTCAAAATTTTGGAAGTGTTTTATTGTGATACTCTCTTTATGACTGTGGTGGTGGGTTTTTGTTTCGTCCTCTTTTAGGAGGAAACGCGGAAGAAACCCAAGATGACAATAGTGGAATCGGCTCAACCTGGTAGTGAACCTCTGTGTACCGTTGATGTGTAATGAGAAAATTTACAAGCAGGGAGCAATAACACAAATGGAGGAACTAGATTTTCAACAATTATTTAAAAATTGTTTGCTGCAGAATGCAAGATAACTTTTAAAATACAAGCTGCTTCAGTTATGCATTGTTCTTTTTGCATCATCAGGGCAATATTACTTTTTCCTATTTTCTTTTTTTTTTTTTAATACCTCTGAGATATTTACATTTAAAGGATTGATCATAAAGATCTCTACTTGGGCAGATGCACGGAGGACAGGCATGTTCACACAGGATAAAATCAATCAAGCACTTTTTCCTGGAAAGCCATCCATGTTGTTCAAAATGGATGTGTTTTAAGGATGAAATTCAGAGTATCTATGTACAGGTTGAAGCTGATACTATATATATACACACATTCATATATATGTATATATAAAAGAAATATATGTACATCTTCTTGTATGAACATGCCTAAAACTATTTTTGTGAAAAGTTTTGTTGCATTTCAGCACATAATAATATGCACTGATAAGACACTTTGGTGACAAATACATGAAAGTGATGAGCAATGTTCCTAATGCCATAGGATTAGGCCAGTAACGCTGTTTCTTTTTGGTTTGTTTTTTGTCTCCTGCCAGGCTCAGTTATTCAAGATCACAGTATGCAGATTTTTTTATTACTTGAAAAGAACAAGTATACCTGGTAGTGTTAAGAGCAATAGGCTGGATATCCAAAATTATTGGGTTTTATTTTAATTGAAAAGAGCCTATGTTAGTTTACAGATCAGTTGAAAGGGGAAAATATGGTCCTATTTATTTGATGAAGATAAAAACTGTAATTTGAAAGGCTGTTTTCAAAGCTTGGAGCCAGAACGCAGCTGACGATGGCTGACAGTCTGAAAATATTTTGCCAATGACATGTTTAAAGACCTTCCACTCCCTTCTCCCAGCAATAAAATAATTTCTCATTTGTTTGGAGTCAGAATATATCTACTTGATCAATTAAGTCTTTGACTGTGCCATAAAAGCAAAGAATTAAAAAAAAAAAAACCAACCCACAACCCTGAGAAATCTGAAATAACTGCAGCAATTTAGTTTTTTTAACAAGTTTTTGGTTCTACTTTTTTAACTGCATTTTTAGTTTTTAAAGAAAAAGTGTAACTTCTGCAATGAAAATTAGAATGTAGATTTGGAATGTGACATAGAGTAATGAGTAGAATGAGACCATAACAGGTTATACCGATAAATAAGAAAATCACAAATATGCAACTATTATAAAATACAATCTTAGAAAACAAGCAGTACTCACTATGTCATCGGAGGCTATGTTAATTTAAGCACAGAAGAAATAATTTTGGCTGTTGTGAAAGCACTGCTGCGTGGGTTTCGTTCTTCATACGGGGCTCTTTACTGGGTGACTGCAGTAAGTCTTCTCTTCGAACCGTTTTTGTGCGTTCTTTGGTTTGTTCTTGAGGAAGAGAGTGACAACCAAGCTGGTGGTCGGGCTTCAGAGGTTTGTCCGAGTGGTGCTGCTGTCCTTCACGCTCCGGCTCCGGCAGGAGTGAAAGAGGCCGGTTCTTGGTAATTGCTGCAGCTCCCAGTGCTTACCTGGGCATTGACCTGGGGGCTTGAGGGGGGGGTTGGTTTGGTTTGGGGGTTTTTTGGTTGGGTGCGTTTTTGTTTGGTGTTTTGTTTTGTTTTTTTACCATGTCACACATAGAGTGCTGCAGTATAATGAATTTAGTGCCTACTGGATTTTAACAATATTGGCATCAGTATTGTAAGACCTCCTTTTAATATCTCCCATTATTTTGGAAACACGTGGATTTTAATTTATATCTCAAACTAATGTTCTCGAATATATGTTGCATATAATGTTCGAGGTTAGACAGGAGTCGTCTTGGAGTCTTAACCTGTTTCTGCGTTTGAGTGATATGCTCAGAGGTCTCTGCAAATATGAATTCACCCATTTCTTACGATGATACTTAGCTTTCCAGTTCCACGAGTGGTAGTCCTGTTGTAACAGGGTACGGGTAGTTGGAAGACTATACGTAAACTATTACTGAAAGAAGTGGCCTATCTAAAAAAACAAAACCGAAAAACACTGCCTCTGCTTTTTTTTGTATAGCTTTAATAATCTCCATCTTTTGAAGGGTATATAATATTGGTGCAGTAGTGACAAGCAGTGGTTACTGTTTGTCTCTCTTTTTGTTGTTTTTTTGCTTTGTTTTCATAAAGACAGGGCTTATATCTTGTATGCCTAAATGTATTACTCCTTTAGGTAGGCTTTACTTTAGCTGACGTCTTTTCAGCAGAAAAAACTGTACTCGCATGGCACTGTAAAAGACAAATCACCCGCGTGGATCTCTTTATTTTTCTGAAATCAGAATGTCGATGCATTTGCAGGTCACCTGCAGAATATCCACAGATGCCTCGCTTACAAATTTGTTTTCATTATTTTTAAGAGGATTGCTGTATTACCTCAGTCTGCCACTACCAGAATCACAAGGAGACCATTGCCCTTAATTAAACCATCCAGAGATTTCATTGTGAACCAAAGCCTAGAACGTGTATTACGTATATTATGCATTCTAAACAAAAACAAACAAAAAAAGATGGTATCAGACCTTGCTGCAGCCTTTAACTGGAGAGATGTCCGGAAAATAGCGCAATAACTGCTGGAACAACCAACCTAACTGCTGTTTATGTCATTGTGAAGTATTCTTGTGTTTCAATGTTTACTATTGTTTGGAGTGTAACAGTCTCGCATTTGCACATAAGCACGAGCTGCTGTGATAGAGGATAGATCGTTGCATTTAACTTCAGCTTCTGCATGGACACTTAGAGCGTGATTCAAGGTGTACCCTAAACTTGTCTTGTAACTCTTACGTGTTTTCTAGGTAATCGGCTGTAAAGGTTTAGATCTTGATTGTATGAATGCATAAAACAACTGCTGCTTTTGTCACTGATACTTGTTATTTATCCCTTCTGTGTCCCGAGGAGGATGGGTATTTTTATAGGGACGGAGTGTATTTTTAAGAACTGTTCCGTCCTTTGGGAATTAAGACAGTTTTCGCTTTGCCTATTACGTGCTTCTCAACAAAAGTGTGGTATATTGACTTTAAAGGATAAAATTAGCGTTCATTCAAATCTTTATGGTACTGATGGAAAAACGTACTGTGACTTCCAGTAAATAGTCAGATGCTACATATTTAAACGCCAGTCATCCAGCTTTTTCTTACGTATTTATTAAACAAAACTGATGAAGTCGTTTGGGTGCTCAGAAGTTTGGAAAAACACTATTATGCATAAACTTAACTGTTGTATGTAAACTTCCACCTTCCTGTGATGCTGTCAGGCTTTATACAAATATATTTGTAACATGCAGGTATTTGAAAGCATTATGATTATCTTACTAATTCTCTAGACTGTACTTGGTTCGGGAGTAAAAGCCTCCTAACTTTCCATGGGAAGAAATGCGAAGTGCAAGAAGCCATGCTGTTGCTAACCAAATAAAACGAGCGGCTACAGTATTCTGATGCGTATCTGAGAAAGTGAAAAAACGGAACAAAACTCGTTCTTACTGCCCAAGTAGGTAACAACGGTTGCTGTATGAGTTGTATTGGGTGCAGTTGCTTGATGCCAGTGCTAAATTGGTACAACTATAAAGCCTCATTTTCACTGAGCCTCTGCTTGCTTTTTTTCTGCACAATCATATAATCCTATGTGTTTGGTCTTTGAGTACTACATGTGTATTTTTCAGACAATTAGTTTTGAGCAATAAAGTTTGATATTATAAAATGCTCCAGTGTGATCGGTATTATGATAGCTTAAGCATATTTAGAAAAAGGAAGTTTTACTCCTTGATTCCTGTAGGTATTTTTAAATAGAAACTAAATCGGTACAGGCTCATTGGGTACGGAAGTACTTCTTTTATCACTTTTTTGGTAAGGAATTGAATGTTTTACATGGTTAGACATCACTTGGAATGAAATTGAATTAAAACTTTTCCTTGAATTGGAATCTGTATTTTTACTTAAATGACGTGACGGTTGGAAATGACACAACCCGAAGTCGCGGGGTTTGGTACCTGCTGTCACACGCCTGCCTCACTGGACAGGAAAGGGGGATCAGCAAGGCCCTGTGCTGTAATGGATTTTTTTTTTGTTCAGTCCGTATTCGATGTACATTAGAAGTATGTTCAATACTCGAGATTTAAAATGGTTATTCCTTCTAACAACCAGTATTACTGTTCTATAGCGTGGATCACAATCGGTTAAATTAATGCTAGGTGCTGAGCATCTGCATGGAAGTACGAATCCTGACCGGAGAGCAACTTGTGCAAGGGTGGGAGTCTCAACCAGGTTTGTCTCCACACCCAGTAACGCGCACTGGAAGCGCAGCTTAAGGTGCTGGGCCTCGCAGTTAAGTAGCGTCCGCTGTCATGGCCTGGGTGTCTGCAATACCTCTTACTGCGCTGAGGTTTGGCATGAAATACAACTGCCGCCTTCTCTTGCCGCACAGGGCTCTGAGTAAAACGGCTGGGAAGACACCCGAGAGAAGATCCTTCTGAGCCTAGGGCAGAGCTTTGGTAGAAAGAAACGCTGTGTCCAAAAGCACTTCAGTTACAACCTCACACGCTGACTAAGCTGAGGTAACACTCCTATTGCTTTTCTCACGCTTCAGTAATGACCGAGTTAGGCATTGCTCTTCCATAGGTGTATTTTCCATGAGGCTGAGGTAGCCTGTTTAAAGCTGCTACATGATCTGCAGTGCTGCAGAACTTCCTAGAGATGGTTGTGACAGGAGGTACTTGACTGAAGGTATCCACTGCGCAGACGTACTAACAGCCTGAGAGGAAAATGAGCCTCTTTATCAAAATTAAAACTTTCTTACTTCTTCCTGCCAAGATGGATGGCCCTGACTGCTGTCTGCACAGTTAATTTCTGGCTGTAAGTTTTCACGGGTGAGGGTATGCCTGGAGTGACGTCATCTCGGCTTTACTTGTACATCGTAGGAAGTGATCCAAGAAAGCCTTTATGTTGTCGGTGATGCTACAGTCCCAGAATAAAATGACTTCAGCTGTGGAAACTGTAGCACTGTTATTAGAATATGAGTTTGTTGCTTTCTCTTGAAGATTTAGCCAGTGAACGATTTACTGAAGGTTTAAGATTGCTAAGTCTTTACTAGCTCACTGAAAAGACGTGGCACCGCTTTGCAGGCTAGCAGAGCTGGAAAAAGTCAGTAATGACGGTTACGGGCCCCTGTCACGAGATGACCTGCTTTGGGAATTGGATGCTGTGTTCAGTCAGTCTCCTCAGTTGCTTAGTTGTTGTGGATGAACAGCAGCTATTCCCCAACACCTACCGTGTGGGGTATTACAGTCACGCTGGAAGGGATGGTGTTGCATTAAAAATCAGCCCAGGTTTCAAATCGTTGTACCTCAGTACAGTTGTGGAATACTTCATTTAAAGCTACGTTTCCACTGTTTAAAGAGTGAGACCACCATACATAATACTTCGCTCACCTAAATTTCCCCCTGAGGGCAGGAGGGGAAAAGCAGGATTTGGCCTAATAGTAGATAACAAAGTTTAACTCAAATTAGTATGATGAAATAACTCGGAAGCCTTGCAGCTCCTCTGTTGTACAGAGATTTATTGCCTGGATGTTACAGAAACGGCGTTACCGAAGCAGTTAGCGAGCAAAAGGAGTTTCTGGAAAGTGTCTCTTGGGAGTTAAGCTGATGCCCTCTCCAAATGCAGTACCTACGTGTGTACAGGAGTTGCCTGGCTCCCCTCAACGGTAGGTGGGTTGGTGCCATCCAAGCACTCCGAGTCGTACCCCGCTGTTGTGACTTCAGTAGCATCAGGCCTTGCTTCAGCAGAGCTCCCGTTTGCATAGTCGACCCTTTCGAAGAATATCAGTAACTCACAGTGCCTGGTCTGAGGGAAGAGATCCACAGCCATTGCTTTAACGGGGCGGAAGGATGCTCCTTTCACTCTGTTGGAAGGGGCCCGGCAAAGGCTTGATGGGAAAGGGAAAGAAAGGGGAGGAAGAACTGTATTAATATTTTGGTATACTGTTCAC